TCGTTTGAGTGTTCATATAAACCATGTCAGACCAATGTTCTGTAATTCTCAAAGTGTTCATTCACAAATCACTTGCCGACAAAGAGGTTAAGAATCGAGCGCAAAATAAAGGTTCTGTTTTGTTCGAGAGTGAAAGTTATACAACATGAACCGATGAAATTACCATTAGTGTCAAACCCACACACACACACACACACACACGAAGGCTTGTCGAGGTTTCATTAAGCATTTTTTATAGTGCTTCTCGTGTGCTGAGCACGTGCTCTTCGAACTGATTATTTTCTTTGTTCTAACCCTATAATTATCTAAGTAACAATATAAATTATAATACACCTGAATCACGACCTTTCTGTCCGGGAATTCAACAAATAAGGATCTATGTGAAAATTTCTCTGGGAGGATATGTTCATCAGTTGTTCAACATCAAAATATATTATAATGGCAATAGGTTAAGAAAAAAAATCAGACGCACAATGACATCTTCCAGAATATGTATATGATAAAGTTATTCGATAAAGTATTGTTCTCTCTCTTTCTCTAGTTTCAGTGGTGCTGTATAACAAAAGCATCTGTATAGAAAACTCTTTAAAACTAATTCCACCTGTAAGTGTAGTTCAACTAGTGTGAATTACAGACAAATGATTTTGGAAACGGTACAGGGGAGCTGCATAAAACTGTTTGTATAAAATTATAAATAATAAATGTAGCATAGTTTAATTTTACAATTTGTCCCCCCCCCCTCCATTGGCACGGCGGTATGTCTGCGGACTTACAACGCTAAAATCCGGTTTTCGATACCCGTGGTGGGCAGAGCACAGCTAGCCCATTGTGTAGTTTTATACTTAATTACAAACAAGCAAACAAATTTTACAATTTTTACTGTGGTGCTAAATCACGGGGGCTGGGGCGGGTGGGTGCGTATTCGGTTTGTACTGACATAAAACGTGCTAGAAACTCGCCCCTGAGGAACATTAAATGAGGCTTGGTATTATCAACTCTCCTACTCTTCATCTTCAGCCTGGTTAAATATCACCAAGTTTTCATTAGTGATAAGAATATTGTTAAACTTTGATGAATTCTCAAACCTTCCAGAAATATATTTTTTAATACGAGCTTTCCAGTGCCTCAACGATAAGTCTGCGGCTTACGACGCTAAAATTCGGGTTTCGATACCTGTGGCGGGTAGAACACAGACAACCCATTGTGTAGCCTTTTATGCTAGTCATGAGCCCCCTCCCCCCAAGTGGCACGGACTTACATCGCTAGAATCAGGGTTTCGATACCCGTGGTGGGCAGAGTACAGATAGCCCATTGCGTTGCTTTGTGCTTAACTTCAAACAAATAAAAGCTATTGAAGAGCCACATAGTGGGAGAACCTACCTTCGCACGTGAGGGGCATGCAAATTTATAGAAGACGAACTATTCTTTTTATTTTCATATATCATATCTATAAATTGAAAAAAAATAAACCGTTTATTTTTACACTGGACTTAAAGGTGCATCAAATTTCAACTTGCCGATAAACTCTGCCATGGATGAGTTAAAACTAATGGCTTTTTAATATACTGTAACTTTTGTCCCATGGTAGGAGAACGGTAAGTTTAGTACGCTAAAATGTGGGATTCGATTTCCCAAGTTGGACATGACAGATAGCTCAATGTAGCTTTGCTCTAAGACAAACAAACAAATACCGTCTTTAGAATCAAACTATTAACACGGGCATCAAATCCTGAAAAAGTGGGTTTACGATATACGCCTGTTTCAAAAGTAATCTGTCAATTATGTATTAATAAATTTTTCAAGAATACCTAGATTACTTTTATTCAACCGTGAACATTATATTTGGTTGTTTATAATTAAACTCGTTAAATACATTTACCAATATTGTTCTGTGATTAAAAGATAGCAAATATATCATACACATGTCTGCTATAGCAAAGCGGCTTGAATTCAACAATACACTCTTTCAACCACTGTTCTTCAGGATAATTCAAATATAAATTAGCCATGAAAAGTGCAAGCTTAGATTCCATACCAGCACCAACTTGATCATGAATTGCTCCATTAACACAAGATCTCTCCGTTAACTAAAGGGGAAGTAGTGTTTTTGACTGGAAGAGTAAGGAACAAGAAATTCTGGTAATTGTTTCTTGGAGTTCTTGCATACACCGTTGAAAAAATTGAAATCTGCTTTATCCAAATATGCAACTTATATTACGGTATTGTACTTTGATCGGTAGTTATAAAAGTCAAAGTTACACTAGATTTTGGAGTGCCCACACCACCTTACCAGCAATGATCACACACTTACGGATTATCTTCTTTCTGATTCTCTAATTTTTTACGTTCAATTCCTGTCAATGAGACGCCTCTGGTTAAATGAGAGATTACGTGAAATATGTAATAAGGCATCAATTTAGAAAGCACGTGCTTAGAATGCCCATTTACTAGATCTGAAAACAAAACAAAAACGAAGTTCTGAACACAAATTCCAAGTTTTTGTAGAAGCTGAAGCCTCTAAACTGTTTTTAACAGTAAACTAATTGTTCTTACAATCGCGAGGAAAATTCACCAAATTCACTTGGGCAGCTGAATTACTTGAACATATTGATTAAATATGGGACATTTTTTAAAATAAATTTTTAAATAGTCAAGATAAACATATTCCTTATAAAAATAAAAGGGTGGCTGCAAGTAAAAATCCAGATTGGCTAACAAGGTGTATAAGGGATAAAATTAAAGAAAAGCATCACAAGTTTAAGAAATTTAAATTAACTGGTATGACGGGAGATTTAAAAGTTTATAGAAGATCAAGAGAGTTGGACAAATAGGAAATTGGGACATCCAAAAAGATGTATGAGCAAAGGTTGGCTGGAAATGTGAAAATGTGCTGATGATATTAAAGCTTTGGATATTTCTCGATGTGAGGAGGAAGCTGCTGCTTTGCAAAATGATTTAGATCACTTAGTGAGTTCAGTGAATAAATGGCAGATGGGTTTTAATTATAATAAATGCAAGATAACGCATGTGTATTATGATAATTTGAATTATAAATATAATTTGGATGGGAATAACCTTAACAGTGTTATGGAAGAAAAGGATCTTGATGTTGTGGTTTGTTGGTCTCTTAAGCCATCCAAGCAGTGTGCTGTTGCTATTTGTATGGCAAACAGGATTTTAGGTTGTATCTGTAGAAATAATGAATACAAATCTAAAAAGGTTATAATTTCATTGCATAGGTCACTGGTTCGGCCACATTTGGAGTATTGTGTTCAGTCTGGGGATCCTTACTTTAGAAAGAACATTGAATTGTTGGAAAGGGTTCAGAGGAGAGCTACAAGGATGATACCTGAGATGGAATAGTTGTTATATGAGGAGAGGTTAAGATCTTTGAAATTATTTTCTCATGAATAAAGAATTGTTGAGGTGTTTAAGGTTAAGGGAATTAACAGTGGTGATGCATCATCTTTTTTCATTCTTAATGATGAGAATGGTAGGACAATGAGACACAAATATAAATTTTAGCAGGGTAGAAATCATCTTCAGCTAAGATAGTTTTATTTTGTTCCCTAACAGTGTAGTTGGCCTTTGGAATGGGTTGCCTTAGGATGTGATAGAGACAGTAAATTTAAGAGTTTAAGGGAAGGCTTCATAAATATATGAATGATAAGGGTTGGCTTTGGTTTTCTTATAGTTTTACTTTGGTGGATGGTACAGTCTAGATTAACCAATAGGTCCCTTGTTGTCCTGAAATATTATGTATGTTGTCTTAGTACCAAAATATGATTCAGATAATAAGCTTTACGATTTTTGGTATGTTTTTATGTCATACCAATATCTGTTTCAGTGTAGACTTTTGGCAAAATTTACGCTGTGCAGTTTGGATGTTCAATTAAAATAAGACTTTTTGCAATCTAAGCTATGTTACAGAGGTGTCAAATACTTAGTGATCTTATATAAATAGATTCATGACCATTTTCCCGCATTAATGGACAAAAAAAATTCATGTCTATCTACGAGCAATAAAAGCACTAAGTGAGGTATCGTTAGAAATATAATCACCTCTGTATATGCCATAAAAAGTTTTGTTTGTTTGTTTGTTTTGAATTTCGCGCAAAGCTACACGAGGGCTATCTGCACTAGCCGCCTCTAATTTAGTAGTGGAAGACTAGAGGGAAGGCAGCTAGTCATCATCACCCACCGCCAACTGTTGGGCTACTCTTTTGCCAACGAATAGTGGGATTGACCGTCACATTATAACGCCCCCACAGCTGAAAGGGCGAGCATGTTTGGAGTGACGGGGATTCGAACCCGCAACCCTCAGATTGCAAGTCGAGCGCCTTAACCACCTGGCCATGCCGGGTCACCATTAAAAGATAATTTTGAAAAGTATTCTGATCTGGCTGCAGTGTTATAGGCCTAGCCCTTCTAGTCTTTTTAAGACGGCTATGATTGTTTAGAATATTTATTAGCCATTCCTGATGCTGCTAGTCTTTCTTCGCATTGTGTGTCTTCAGTTATCAGTATTAATAATGGACGATAAAAGTGTCTCAACCAATTAGGTAGAATGTCAGCACGTTATTGTCTATCAGTTTATGAAATACCGCCATGAATACAGTAAGCTTTGATTTTGACCTATAGCTTGACGACTAATCGGCCGCTCTAAATACATCTGCAGGGATATGACTAATATCAGATGGGACTATATTATTGTACAAATCGGACGTAAGTAGCTATAATTGTATTGTTAAAAACAATCAGTAACATGATCTGTGAAATATATACATTTGACACAACAATAAATGTTTCTATCTTTACAAGGGAAATAAATACGTCTCTTTTTTTCTTTTCTAATGCCACAGATACCTAAAATTAACTCACTGCTTCATAAATCTTACTTAATTTACATACATTTAAAATTGACTTGATGTTCCTTAAAACCAGCAACTCACAACAAACGTAACATGTAATATATATATATATATATGTAAATAACGTACGTGTGTAGCCAGGTAGATTGGAGATATAGGGAACAGGGTAAGTTGGAATGGCTGTAGTGACCATTGGATAGACTCTGTCGTAATTTTGGTTGTCTCCATGGCACGTGGGTAGAAGGCAGTACCCAGAGAACGATGGAGTAGTGCGCATACACAGATCACAAGGCGACGCTGTAGTAGTTGGTGACGTTCCTATGAATAAGATAACACTTTTACTTCAAAGATATTAACTCAAAGTATGTGATATTTTATGTACTGTATTTAATTGTAATAATAAAAAAATCAACACAGAAAACACCAAGTCAAAATGCTAACACTCATCTACAGATGAACATCTGTGAAATTATCCGTTTTCAGTAGTAAGTTCACCATATTTCATTTTTTGGGAGAAACGTGTGATCGATAGCCCATGTGTTAAGTCTCGTTGCCTTTGATCATCTGAAGTAATCACGAACACCGAATAAGGTAAAGAGTGCTTTGAACTTTTTATGCATGCATGAACAAGTTACTACCGTTTTAAGTGCCATCAATTCTTGAAATTCAAAAATTTAATAAACCATAAACGTATTTTCGTTACGGTACCCTTACATTTGTTGAGTATCGTTGGAAAAACAGTGTGATAGAAGAACAAGACTGACTGTGCTGCTCGAGATGATTATCGTTCTCGTGCTTACCAACACTGATTGATAAGATATGAGTATAATTTTATAATCCTGGCCTAATCTTTTTAAAGTTCGTGTGAATAATATAGCAGATAATACTGAAAGCTCTGAAAGATCCAGGCTATAGTCATAAAAAATATTTGTATATATACATAAACAGGGGTGTGCTTTGCATTTCCATTGACCATGGAAACGTCAGTGTAACATGAATCCAGAAAGGACGGTGCATCTAATCACAATGAAAGCATTATACAAAATCTATCATAGCTTAAACTGTAACAAGGAAGTCTGGTGTGCTACAGGAAAGCCAAAGATTTATACGGAGAGTAATATCGGTGTCAGGGAAAGTAGTAGATTTCTCTCGGCGACATGAAAGGGTTGTATTGTGCCTGACCGAACACAGACACACGAGTCTGGAAGTATGTTAAATAGCGTTCATTACATTTAAAACGGATACAGTGGCAGCTTAGCACGCGCCACACTAGTCAGTTTCGCTGTATTAGGTAAAGAGTTAAAAGAAAAAAAAAAGATATTTTACCGGAGTAATGATTCAGACCTTTCCAACAATTCTTTGTATAATTTGGATAAATGAAACGTACAGAAGTTTTTTCACGATGATGGTTTTTTATTCTGTTTAATAAGGCATCCATATTATTTACAATTATACAGCAATCACGTGTTCCTCTAATAAAAAGTTAGCACACTTAAAAATATATACATTTTTTTCACAGTTACTAAAGCCGATGTTGGTTTAATCATTTATATTAAACTTCATAATACATAAAACTTTTCGTAGTTTCTAATGTGATTGCTTCCTGATGTGAAAGTTTTAGCTGGTGTAGAAATAAACTCAGAAATATATTAAAACCTTTCTAAGAATCCATGGTTTGCATCCCATAGTGTGCTCCACACGTTGGGACCATGCGCTAACCGGCCCTAATTTTGAAGTAATAGACTTGAGGGATAGTCAATACCACCCACAGTCAACTCTTAAACTACTCTTTACCAACAAAAAGTGGGATTGACTATCACATTATAATGCTTCCATGGCTGAAGGGGCAAGCATGTTCGGTGAGGGTTTTCGAACCCACGACCCGCAGATTGCGGTTAGAGCACCCTAGCAGGAGGTCATACCATACCCCTTGTGTTTTGAGAGTAACAGTCAAATGCCGGTTTTCTATTTTTTTCGAGAATTCTAGATGGTAAAACAACACGATTCTCTGATGGCCGTACTGATCTTTATGCCATTTACTTTGAACACTGTAAATTATAAGGTTGAGATCAGTGTCAAAGTTTTCGTTGACATCATCGACTGAGCTTGATACATTTTGAAACTACTCTTCCATACCGTCAACTTTAAGAAGTAATTATATCATAACGGACTTACTAGCAATGTATTTCAAACACCAAACCCAAGGAGACATTTTACGCTAGACTCACCCAATCACACTGTAACTTTTAGGAAACCTTTTACAGGGGTTTGAAGAATATTCCACAAAACTCAACTTAAAGATTTCCATAAAGTATGCAGTGGCATTGTAGATCTGTTATATCAGCTCAAGGTGGACATACTTGATATTAAGATGGATATTAAGATTCGTCAAATTAATTTTTATATCATTGATCGATATTGTTGTTGCAGACCTTCTAAAACTAGAAGGATGAAAAGTCAGAGACTGTTGTAAGAGAAGTTCTGTTAATACATAATGCTTTTGTCTTACGAATACAATAAATCTCACTTTCTTTAATAATCTACAACTTAAAACTTAGCTACTTGCTAAATATACGTTAATGATTTGTTGATCCCTAATCATTTTATCAAGTATTTATGGATTGTTGTTTACATTGAGGTTAATCGCTCTTAGAACTACTTTCTCCATCATCAGTTGTACTTTGTTTCATGACTATGATTAAGCATTACCGTTCGATGCCACAATTTTCATTCTAACAAGCTTCTAAAAAGGACGGCGAGGTCATCTTAGACCACACACCCTCCACTGTACACGGACTTAAATAAACACACATAAGTTTGTCGGAGCTGCATCGGAGGTCCTTGCAGGTATGTGGTCGAACGGGATTGTTGTGTTTCCAGTTTCGTTGGTCATTTTTCTCATGACAACAGTCGAGGTGTGGCTTGTGAACTTTCAGCAGCTCCAGATCCTTGTTTATATTTCTGTTAATGGAGCCAGAAAATATGTCGCAACTGACTTGTAAAAAAGGTTCGGAGAGTTCTGTCTTGTGACCATAGCCTTCACTTTGCGGATGAGAGCATTGTTTTGGGTCGTCTTAAGGTATGGTTTCGAAGCCCTAAATGTTCTACTGTACAACTTTTTCTCGATCCCTTGAAAAACTTTGACGGCTACCTCCTTCAGAACCCGAGATTATTAGTATCTGCATTGTTTATCTATCACGCTATATGACTATCCTTCCTCGGGAAGGAATGCGACATATTATTCTACATATAAGTAATATGTTGTGGCCAAATGGTTAATAATTCAATGTAAACCAACCATATAGGTGCTAAGCATGTGTCTCGTTGCGCCACGACCTGCATCTGTGGCGACGTGCCACTGTTCTACAACATATAAATAAAGAGCGATTAATCATCTGTAAGTAACTCTGACAAAAACAATACCTAGCTACGGATATTTTAATGTTTAATTAAGTGGATTAATATCTGACTACGTGTACAATATCAAATGACAGTCGTTTATGAAAGAAGATACCTTACTACGAGTATTGAGTCTAAGGTATTGAAGGAATTCTTTCCTTACTACAAGTATAGTGTTTAATATAAGCAAACAAATGACTGACTACGAGTGTAGTGAAGACATAACTACCTAAGTACAAGTATAATTTAGTGAATAATTCATTTGCTATTAGCGTAATGTCTATTGAACTGAATAAGAAATTCATTGACCACGAGTAGAATGCCTAGTGAAGTGACAAAATAAATACAAGACTTGTATAATGTCTAGTATAGTGAAGAGATAAATACCTGATATACCCGTAGTCAGGTATTTAGATTTTTACTACGCTAGATGTTACACTCGTAGTTTGGTATTTAGATTTTTACTACGCTACATGTTACACTCGTAGTTTGGTATTTATATTTTCATTACACTAGATATGATTCGTGTACAAGTGTTTATTTACCATATTAAACGTTATATTTGTGACCACTCTTTATTTCTTCATTACATTAGACATAATACTCTTACTCTGGGTATTTGATTCTTCTCTACACTCGACTTTAGACAGGTTGTCATATGTTTATATTATATTTTCACTACAATAGATATTATATCTTTTCTCCTCCACTACATTAAACATTACAAGGTGAAATAAATATTCTGAGTTGGGTTATTCTGTTGAGGGCTAAACGTGGCTTAGTGTGTAACGCGTAGATGACCAACCCCTTATAGTTTACTTTGGCCAAACTGGCAAAACGAAACAGTAACCAAACAAATCAATCCCGTGACGGCTCTGAGACCTTTCTTCAAATTTTAACTCAGGTATTTATTCAAAGTCATATAATTAACTGAGGGTATGTACAACTTACATGTTCTTGGAAGCAAGTACCTGAACATACTTTGTTATAATTTCGGCCCCTTAACACAGTCTAGGTAAGAAACTGGCCCACGAGCATAAAGAAGCTGGAATTCTCTGGTTTCTAACGCGTCGAGCTGCAAATTCGAAATGTAAATCATAGAGAATGAGTATAATGTTTAGTGAAGTGAAGAAATAATTACACGAATAAAGGCCTAATGTATAGTGTAGTGAGAATGAAAATACCTGATTACGAATATGTCTAGTGTAGTGGTTTGTTTGTTTGTTTTGAATTTCGCGCAAAGCTACACGAAGGCTATCTACGCTAGCCGTCTCCAATTTTGCAGTGAAAGACTAGAGGGATGGTGGCTAGTCATCATCATCACACACCGCCAACTCTTGGGCTACTCTTTTACCACGAATAGCGGGATTAACCTCAACATTATAACACCCCCGCCACTGATAGGGCGGGGATTCGAATCCGCGACCTGCAGATTGTGAGTTGTCTAGTGTAGTGAAGAAATAAATACCTAATTGTCATTAAATGTTAAATGTACTGAAGAACTAAATATCTGACTAGAGAATAATGTTTAGTGAAGTGAAGATATGATTATACTGACACCGACCTCTGTGTTCGTCGATTCTCAATTGTTATAAGACGAGGGGGTCCTGGTGCCCCAAGTTGATTCATACTCCTTTGTTTCCCAATGCTGCTAAGTACAAAGAACATCTCGCTCTTGAAATCTCTATATAAACAATCTGAACACATTCTATATAATCTGAGTGTATGAAAGTGTTGCATCGGAAAGGGTTGTAACACACCATTCGCAAAATCGATTATTTTCGGTGACATCACACCATCCACGTTAAACAATTCCAAAACGTAGTTGTAATACACGTCTTTTCATCGCATTTTTATATCGATTATGGTTGCAAAATAACTTAATGATTTATATATTCGATAACCATTTTAATATAATC